TTTATCGTACAGAATCAACTAAAGCAATTTACAGATACCTATCAATAATACAAGACAATCCAAGATAATGATCACGTATTGATTTTCAATACCAACTTATGACTTGCTACATCAACCTAAATTTGTAAACTATCATCTGAGTTGCTTGGAATTTTTTGCATTTTTGTAATAATTTTAGATGTTGCATATTGCCTTGAGCTTCTGCCATATATTTGGATCTATCCAGTCTTCCATATTTTACAACTCAAAGAATTTCATATTGAGCCAACAAGCTTTCTGGATTGACCAACAATCATTGCTACCAATAGTAGTTAATGACCAATAAGAATATGAAATAGACATATTTGATAACATGATAGTGGACATCTACAACTTCAATACAAAGTTCTTAGAAAAGCTAATCTCATCTTCAATGCAATGTAGGAACCTATACAGAATCTCATCAATTATTGAGAGATAATTTCTTTTGCAAGCTTTAATTAAGGCATGGACAATTAAAGAATGTCTTTGAACAATCTCTGCATTAGCTTCTAGATTATATGATGTACTTCATTTTAATTTAATCCCATATCCATCATAGAAACTTTTAGCCTCAAGAGCATGTAATTCTCTTTTATTAACATTCATCCTTCTTATGTATCCTAACATACTAAAGATATCTTTACGATTGAACCCATAAACCCTTTCAATTTTCTTGGTCTTTAAAGCCCTACCTCCTACATAGTTTGAGAATTCTTCTCAAACCAAAACTAAATACTTCATGTCTAAAATTCTAAGAGGCATTACAACAAAGTCTATCAACCATTGAAAATATAAAGAAAGTAGATAAGTTAGGTAAAGTTTATCATGATATCTTATTTTTGATTAGAACTAGCATTCTTGGCATAGTCCTACAAAGTCCTTCACATCCTTGTAAAACTCCTTTTATCAATATTTTTCTTTGATCTTAATATAAATAGCTTAAATTTCCTTATGTTTTAACCAATTTATATCATGGAATTCTTTGAGAACTTGAGTTGTAGTGAAAGAGTTCTCCACTACTCTAAGAAGAAATCCATCATTTTTTATTTATTTTTTATTTTTTATTCTTTAATTTCTTCTACAAAATACTATTCTTTAAAAGGTAATTATAGGATTTGTTTCAACTTTCTTACTTTTCCATTGTGTTTAGATAAAGCCAAATATACTTCATTTTGCTCTCATATAAATTCTTTCAAAAGATAGTATATTTTCATCTTTTATTCCAATAGCATAGGTATGTAAGTAAACACAACCTTGTTCACCTTTATTTTCACTATCTTCACATGATACCATACTTCCTTCTTCTTTAAACCTAGCCTTAGATAACATATGTGTAATTATATATTTTTTTTCTTTGTATGTTTTAGAATTGGATTCAAAGATTTAATATAAGCCACCTACTTCAACATAGTAATATTAAGGATTGTACAATTTGAAATAATTTTCAATAAAAACAAAAAGATTGTCTTAAAAACCACATGTATTCCTATAAGATAATTCTTTTTTATTTTTATGGTTGTAACTACTCTCCAAAGTTCCTTCTTCATTTAAAAATAAGCTCTTATGTCTCAATTAGAATTTTAATTCCAAATTAAATAGCATGTATCTTATTATTGCTATCTTCTTGTTTAATAGTCTAACCAATAGTAATTAGACTTGTATTAATTATAACTATCATAGGTTGATTTTTTTCATAATTAAACTACCTTAAAATGGATGACAAACTTAATATTTTTTTAAAATCATTCATAGCCTCTTCTTGTCTTATTTTCTAATTATATTTTCTTTTTTTTTATAGAAATTTATATAATTTTTCTAAAATATGAACAATATAAAGAATCAAGATTTGATAGAAAATACAAGCTCTTAAAAACCTCCAAACCATAATAATGTTCTTACAAGGCTTTATTCTTATAATAGTATTTATTTTATTTTATAATTTTTATACAAATATTCTACTACAATAACTTTTTTAACTCCAAGTTTTGAGTTATTAATCGAGAAGGTTATATTTACATCTTTCAACCTTAATAGGATCATTTTTATATCTCCAATATGATGCCTAATAAAACTCCTACATCCAATGTTGTCCTTTGCTTTATCCTTGACTTCTTCTTTGTATCTCTTAATTGTAATATCATTGACAAATGGAATGGTCTTCTCAAATATAAATTCCTTCAAAATCTATATTTGAACCAATCTTGAAGGTGTCTTTATAATGGTCAAATCTTAACTTTTTGTTACAAATTATTATCCATCATATCTAGACTATAGATTTCCAATATAATAAATTGAATTCTCCATTGTTGGAATAGAGTGAATTTACTTAAAGAAAGAGCTAGACTTTTGGTTGCCACTAATTACTCAATCAAATCTTAAGATATGACAACACCAAGATTATATATAATATTATCTCTTTTAGGGCAATTATATCAATACATAAGCCCTAAGCACTAAAGAACATCCAAAATATGATAAAAATTATTTAAATCCTTATATATTCTTAAGGTGAATTTTTTCCAAACTTCAACGCCTCAAATCTCTTAATCATATCATCTAGATAGCCTCAAAATTTACTTGAAATATTGATATACTTTAAACAACTACCACAAAAAATTTCAACCATAAATTTGTTACAAATCTTGAGATATTACCAAAACCTTAGCAACACCTTCAAATCTTTGTTTATATATACTTGCATAAAAATTTCTTCATATCACACAAACTAAAATTTTAAATTATACGAAAAGTGGTGTATAATTTTTTAACTCAATAATCCACACTTTTAAAAATATTTAAGCTAAAAATTCATCTAAAAATTCAAGATATGGCTCAAACCATTACTATCAACAAAATAGTTTACTTACTATCTTTGAATTACATGTGTTGTCTTCAACTCCCTATAATTCTTTCATACAAATCCCAAATATATCAATTCTTTTGTGAAAGATGTAAGACTTGAAATCACCCTCACGATCGCATCTCTCAATTTTCAAAACAATTGTACAACTCCTCATATCCTTAATATGTCTTTAAAAGATACCTTAACTTCAAACGGCTATAACTTCTTTATTCTAATTCTAAATCCTCTAAATTTTATACACAAATTGTATTCCAAATTCTAAAGCTTACAACCTTTGCTTCTAATTCTCAAATGACTCTTTTAAAATTGCCAAAACATCACGTTATGGTTGCAGGCAGCCTACTAAAAGCCCATTACACATGACATTTGACCAATAGGGATGAAGACCTTCACCCCTTGCCTTCACCCAACCATACTTTGTTTTTATTTCTCTCAATAATTTTCATAATAGTTTAAACTTTCATCTTTAGACTCCAACCTTCTCTTAAGCTTTATATCAAACATCTAAATCTTTATGATTTAAACACTATAATCAAAATAAATAAACTTCTAAATATTTTTTTTATATCAACTCTCTTTAAATTAACATACTAACTACTGTAATCCATATTAAGACTTACAAACATATTATATATTTAAAATTAATTTATACATACTATAAGTAGTTATAATATAATATTGTACTTGTCTTTCTCTCTCGTTGCCTTGATAAGGTCATATTATTTTTCGCCCTTTGCTATTGCCTTGCCTTTGCCCCTTTCCTTGCAAATCGTATCTTTGCTGCCACCAAGTTGAAATGCCACAAGAACATTTGATTCCACATTTTAATACTTGTTTTAGAAGTAGTTTAATTAAATGATAATTTTGGTGTGGTTTGAATTAGTTGGCTTGAATATTGAATGGTTTTGATCTAAATTTAATTATTAAAAATATTTTTATATTTTTATGATTATTTTTTTAATTTTAAAATATATTAGTTTTATCACAAATATTATGAAGGATTGGACAATATTGCTAATATTAAAAAAAAAAATTAAATACAAATCAATGGATTTCAAAAGTGAATGCTTTAAATTGTATGTGATGAAGATGTCTTTCCTATGAATATTGAAAAGAATATTTATGTACTTGGAATGGGTGAAATAAAGGTTAAATTGAATATTCTAAAGATATATATCATGTTTCTTTAAAAATTGTATAGATTTGAGGAATTTTATTATTTTCAACCTTTTTAAAAGGCTCTATAGCATCTATCCAAGCAAATGTATAATGTACAAAAATGGATCATAAAAAACATGATATAGTAGAGTTAGATCAAAGGTATTACAAAGCTGCCATGTAATTGTCCAATTCATGTATTAGTCTCCACTTTAAAGTAAAAAAAGGTGATTTTTTTCAAAATTTTAAAGGTAATGTGTGATGTATGTTTTATGAAAACTTTAGTACATGAAGATAAAAAATTAATATTTTATCACAACTGTTGTGATAATCAATACTTGCAATAAAAAATAAAAATAAATTGATAATGAAGATAAAAAATTAATATTTTATCACAACTGTTGTGATAATCAATACTTGCAATAAAAAATAAAAATAAATTGATAATCAATTTTGTTTTTAAAGAAATGCCTTTAAGTCTTTATATATATATAATTAATTATTTTAAAAAACAATTTAATTATATTTTATATGTGATAAAAATAATAATATACAATTTTGAATAGAACAATATATTGCAATATTCATTCATATTTTGGATGTAAAATACTATATATATTTTATCCAATTTTTATATTAATTATATTATATAAGAATATATATTATATTTATATAATATAGACCAATATTGGATATGTTGTTTGTTTATTAAATGATTAATACCAAATTTTGATGCAATTTAATACACATTTGAATATGTTGTAGAATAGAAGGTGTATCAATTAAAATAGTTGAACGTTAACTTTATTAATAAATCTTCAATTGCTGTTTGAAATATAAACTTTCAAATACGGAATTCTAATAGGGATGGGAAAAGACATTTTAAGTAAGTAAGCCAAATGGTTTATGTAAACTATGGAAATGAGATACATAAACTGAAATAAGATGACAATCTCCATCCTCCTCATTGCGGCCTTCTCTCTGCCCTCTTCCTCTCGTCTGCCTGCTTCCACCCCTCTTCCTGCCCTCCTTTCGGTGCCGCATCCTTTTTCTCATTTCTCCGTTTCTGTTGCTTCTCTCTCCCTTCCCCTCCCCGGGGGGTTGCGCTCCCTCCGTTCTTTTCCGGCAATTTTCTGCAGGAGTTAGCACGCCCTCAGCGATTTCAAGTTATGGAGGCGATGGCTCCTGATGAGGTGAGTTCTTGAAACGTTTGGACTTCATTAGGTCTGCACAATTTAGATTCTAATGTGGGTTTCGGATCGGGGTTCCGTCGTGGTTTCAGCTTGGGTTTTCAGCAATATTTTTGCTGAGGTATTGAGCAGCACATACTGTTGGGTTTTCCTGCTTCAGACGGAGCAAGGTCATCGGCGAAGGAGTGAGGGGGAGGATCTAGAGGATGCGGTGCAAGACCAGATTCGAGCGACGGAACAGGAGATAAGAGCGAAGGAAGAGGAGATAAAAGCGAAGGAAGAGGAGATCAGAGCGAAGGAAGAGGAGGTCAGAGCGAAGGAAGAGGAGATCAGAGCGAAGGAAGAGGAGATTAGAGCGAAGGAAGAGGGGATAAGAGCGGTGGAAACGGAGATTGGTACTGCTTCGGGAGATAAAGCGAGAAAGCCTCTTGAAGCGAAGCTGCAGTTCCTACGGCAACAGATTAGCCGCATTGGGCAACACATTAGCAGCCGCAATCAACAGATAGTCAGTCTTGGGCAACAGATTAGCAGCTTCCGGCAAGAAGTGAGCAGTCTTCGGTCTGTGCAAGCAGCGGCGGCATCGTCAGGTGTGTAATCTTAGAAAGAATCTGGATCCTGGATCTGTCAGATGATTCTTGTGTGCTCTTGTATGCCTACTTGCTGCTTTTTGGGTAGTATGCTTACTTACACTTGTGAGAACATGCTTTCGTGGTGGACTGATAAGGGGTAAAGGTAGAATAAGCAGGTCTGGTATAAGTTTCTTCCCTGCGTTCACCCATCAGGGTGTCAGATAGTACTTTATTCTTGGCACTTAGTTTGCTTCAGTTTGCCCTGCCTTGTGTACGGATCATCATCACTTGGGGTGTCGTGTTTTGAATAGCAGGTAGTGTTTCCCGACATCTTTGTTCCATTCTTTGGCAACTTTGGTGCTGACTAATTTTAGGTGTCCGATTTTTTCAAACTTAGAAACCTCTATTATCTCTCATCGTACGTTTTGAAGGGTGCAATTTATCTTGAGAAGCGGCAGAAGCGCTACTCCTGCAAGTGCGAGGCCACTGGATGTTTAGTTTAACCATTGGTTTTTTATTTGAATTACTGGATTGCATGTGCAGATAAATGCACAGAGTTTGATTGGCTACGTCAGGACTTGCCGTCGTGGGTCTCAGGGAACTCCAAGCCTCCAAGCGCCACGCAGAAGGAGCGGATGTATACGCCTGTGAGAGTGGAGTATTGGGATGTGGTGAAAGACATCGAAGACTATCTGAACAAGGCGGATAAGTTGAAGCGTATATATCGGAAAGTGGATGACTCTGTATTCACTGCAGGAAAGAAAAGTGTGGTAGCCATCGCTTATTTTGTCGTGAACAGCACCTGCGAATTCGTTAGTAAGAAGCGACCAGATTCCTCGGTAACATACGACGGGGAAGTGAACCTTGAAGTGCCACCAGAACCCTCAGCAGAGGGAGGAGAGTCGACGAACACAGACGGATCAAAGGCCGCGGGCAGAGACGTTCAAAAGTGTTTCTTTTATGCCAGACCTCCTCGTGTGGATGTGTTCATTCGATCCAACGGTGAGGCCGTTGCTGTTCTTGAGCTCAAGAGTGGAGGTCTGGGATGTCCCGTGCCGATCCACAAACTGTGGACAAGATGCTCATGTCAGACAGGTTCGGTACGGCAGATCTCATTTGATTTTTGGTTGATTCCCGTCTTCACGATTTGTTAAGGATGCTCAGTTGTCAAGCCTGCTGATATGGAGGCTGAATTTCCTCAGGAATCGACCCCAACTGCTGGTGCCATACTAACATCTCGGAAGGACATGCCAGGAGTATTCTCAACTGCAGTCTCCAGGTTTACGAATACCTGGTTTTGTAAGCAGTTCATTAACCTACCTCGGGATGAACCGGGTGGGGCTAGCTCAGCTCAGGGCTCAGTGTCGCGAGGTCTGCTTCTGCCTTTTGTCAAAATATTCCAGCAAAAGGGCAGTCCTGTTGAGCAATACTTCGTTTTTCCTGGGCAGCTATTTGGTGCTCTAACCTGGTTTTATTCTTCAGGCAGGTTCAGCTAGTCTTTGCTTTTGTCTACACTCCTTTGTTGTTCCATCATGCTTTTTGTGTAATTTTTCGCGCATCCCTTGGTTTACGTTCAGGAATCAAAAAGGCCCCGACAGGCACCCCGTTTTCCCCCTCACCGTTGGCTTCCGGCGGATTTTCTTCTTTTTAGTACTGAAGTTGTGAGGTTTACTCGCAAGATATTTAGGAAGCAGATGTTTCTGGAGTTCCAAGTGCTCAGCAATTTCAAATCCTGGTACCCACGGGGATGTGTCTTAAAATCGAAATGGTCTTCAGATGAGAAGCTGATGAGTAGTGTGAGGTGGTCCTCATTCTACGTTCTTTTCCCTCGAGTTGCAGGGCGAAGGTTGGGTATGGCGTTCTCACCGATATCCAGAACTGGTATCTCTGCAAAAGGGATCATGGTGGCTGCCTCTATATTTCAACAGGTTTCAAGTTGGATGGCCGGAAACCGCCTGTACCTGCTGCAATTGCTTATTTGGTCAATTCTGCTGTTGAAGCCCACGGTGAGTTTGATGTTTTACCCAGGAAGGGTGAGCGTCCCTGGAGCTGGGAGGTTTCCCCTTGTGCCAATCCCAGTAGCGGCTCTAAAGATGATGAAGACGAGGGTAGGACCTACAAACCAAACGAGCGCGAAATTGGTGGTTACAGAACGTCTCCAGCTAGGTAACCTGTCTAGCCAGCTACCCAAACATTGACATGTTCTTTGTCATGGATACATAGAAGAGAACAAACGGTGGAATGATGGCAAGTGCATGTACAGGACTCGAAGGGGATCCTCAAACGCGACACAGAACCAATTGCAGGAGATTCCTGCGCCGGACCTGCATCTGGACGACCGCCCCATCAGCAGCGGGGGATGGAGCGGCTCCGTGGTTGGCGGCACTTTGAATGGTCGTCGTGTTGCAGTGAAGTTGGCTCCCCGCAATTCGGAACGTGCGGAGGTGAGCTGGAGTTGTGATGTGGAATTGTTGCGCGCCCGTCTAAACGTTCACTATGGCCCGGTCTAAATCGGGGCTGACCTGGAGTGGTCCTGCCAGCGATTGCTTTTGTAGCAGGCAGTCTTTGCTAGACGGAACACGAGGGCATTTTTGTGTTGAAATGAATGCAGTTTGCGACACCTTACCGGCTTCTGATCTGGTTGTGTACATACCGTCTTCTGGCCGTGCTTTGTACAGGCTCTGCTGAACGAGGTGGACGCCTACCTAAAGCTGCAGAAGTATTGGGGGGAATTCGTGCCCCCATTAGTAGGATTTGGAACCACAGCCAATGGCCAAATTGTTTTCATAGCGACAGAGTTGATCGATGGCAGTCCACTCGGACCTGGTAAGTAATAAGCTCTTGAAACCAGCGAATGGGGAGTGTGGTCGTCTTCCTCCTTTCCCGAGGGCTTCTTGCAGCTTAATCATGGTGCCGGAACAGTATCTGTGGCGCTCTACAATCAACAGGCAGAGTAGGCACTTATCTACGTTTCAATGTATTGCCTTTGGTTCTCAGGAACAGTGACCGAGGAGGTGGCCAATGCGGCACGTAAGGGGCTTGATGCTGTCCACAAGTGTAAGTTACTTCATGGGGATGTTGAGGCGCGGAACATTATGGTTGTGCGGGGTACACAGCCTTCTGTCCGCCTTGTTGATTTCGGCTTTGCGAAGCGCAGCAACAATAAGGAGTCGCAGAGGGAAGAGCGCGGGAGATTGGAGGACCTTTTGCAAGATATGATGAGAGTTCGGGTGGGGAAAGCGTTTGATGACGTAAGATATCCTCGTACGCAGCTTTGTTCAGTATAGTGTAACCACCTTTTCAAGCGACTCTGACGAGGGAGACTTATCGTTGCCTGCCCTCCAAAAACTTTCGCTCCCCTCGCTCCCTCCCTCTCAGTTTTTCAACTGCTCCCAGGGCCGCCTCTCCTTGTCTTCTTTGTGTCCGCTTCTCCTCTCTCCAAGCTGTCAAATTGGCTGCCGCCTTAATGGCGGCCGCCAAATTTCACAAGATTCCTTTACGGAAACCTTTCAAAACATTTTAAATCGGAACTTAAAAGTTCAATTACACCTTTATTACCCCCCCTCCCCTCCTTTTTTAATTACAAATTGAAAGTTTGTAAAAACCCCAAAATAACCTTCAAAAGTTAAGAAAAATTATGAGAAAAATACAAGAAATACCAGAAAGTCCTTATAAACATAATGGCAAGGAAATATGACATGCAATAATAATAAAAAAATATTTCGAAAGAAACTGAAACTCTTTGAAAAGCTAAAATGTTAGTAAAATTTATAAAGCCCTTTTTTTATTTTTATTATTTTAAGAAAACTAATGATATATAACTTGAACTTTTTGTACATTCTATTAATATTTACATCATGATATCCATTCCCTGCAAATTTGCACATTCTTTGGTTTATGTCAAAACTCATTCTTCTTCCATGTCTAATTCTAAGTCATAATTTCCATGAAAGATTGTTCTTCCATATCCTTTGTCAGAAATCCGGCGTCTCTTTTCTTAAATATTTTAATCCTTTCTCCTGGTATTCGTGTATTTATCATAGTGCCGTGAAATTCTTGTAATGAATAGGATGTATTATCATGCACTTTCACTACCACATAATTACTTTTGTGTAAAGTTCCTGTAAGCACTCCATTGATGACTAGTGAGCTATCAAATATCATCACCTTGTCTCTGTTAATTGACTTTGACCTCAAATGGTGTGTTTTATCAAACCCAGCTTTATTAGCCAATCTTTCTTTCTTTAACCTTTCCATTCCTTGAAAATGATTCTCAAACATTTTATCCATCTGATGAATGCAAAACTCTAAAAGTTTCACCTTGGAAATATAATTTTTTTATAATAGATATATTTATGATAATGGATTGTTGAATTAATATGAGGGATTTTTGTCCCATTATTAATTCTATTGACATATATTTAGTTGCAATACTAAGAGTTGATTTATCCGCCCACAAAGCAAAGAATAATAAATTAAATTAGTATCTAAAATCTCCTTTGTAAGGTTCAATTAAGGCATGGACAATTAAAGAATGTCCTTGATCAATCTCTGCATTAGCTTTTAGATTATATGATGTACTTCATTTTAATTTAATCCCATATCCATCATAGAAACTTTTAGCCTCAAGAGCATGTAATTCTCTTTTATTAACATTCATCCTTCTTATGTATCCTAACATACTAAAGATATCTTTACAATTGAACCCATAAACCCTTTCAATTTTCTTGGTCTTTAAAGCCCTACCTCCTACATAGTTTGAGAATTCTTCTCAAACCAAAACTAAATACTTCATGTCTAAAATTCTAAGAGGCATTACAACAAAGTCTATCAACCATTGAAAATATAAAGAAAGTAGATAAGTTAGGTAAAGTTTATCATGATATCTTATTTTTGATTAGAACTAGCATTCTTGGCATAGTCCTACAAAGTCCTTCACATCCTTGTAAAACTCCTTTTATCAATATTTTTCTTTGATCTTAATATAAATAGCTTAAATTTCCTTATGTTTTAACCAATTTATATCATGGAATTCTTTGAGAACTTGAGTTGTAGTGAAAGAGTTCTCCACTACTCTAAGAAGAAATCCATCATTTTTTATTTATTTTTTATTTTTTATTCTTTAATTTCTTCTACAAAATACTATTCTTTAAAAGGTAATTATAGGATTTGTTTCAACTTTCTTACTTTTCCATTGTGTTTAGATAAAGCCAAATATACTTCATTTTGCTCTCATATAAATTCTTTCAAAAGATAGTATATTTTCATCTTTTATTCCAATAGCATAGGTATGTAAGTAAACACAACCTTGTTCACCTTTATTTTCACTATCTTCACATGATACCATACTTCCTTCTTCTTTAAACCTAGCCTTAGATAACATATGTGTAATTATATATTTTTTTTCTTTGTATGTTTTAGAATTGGATTCAAAGATTTAATATAAGCCACCTACTTCAACATAGTAATATTAAGGATTGTACAATTTGAAATAATTTTCAATAAAAACAAAAAAATTGTCTTAAAAACCACATGTATTCCTATAAGATAATTCTTTTTTATTTTTATGGTTGTAACTACTCTCCAAAGTTCCTTCTTCATTTAAAAATAAGCTCTTATGTCTCAATTAGAATTTTAATTCCAAATTAAATAGCATGTATCTTATTATTGCTATCTTCTTGCTTAATAGTCTAACCAATAGTAATTAGACTTGTATTAATTATAACTATCATAGGTTGATTTTTTTCATAATTAAACTACCTTAAAATGGATGACAAACTTAATATTTTTTTAAAATCATTCATAGCCTCTTCTTGTCTTATTTTCTAATTATATTTTCTTTTTTTTTATAGAAATTTATATAATTTTTCTAAAATATGAACAATATAAAGAATCAAGATTTGATAGAAAATACAAGCTCTTAAAAACCTCCAAACCATAATAATGTTCTTACAAGGCTTTATTCTTATAATAGTATTTATTTTATTTTATAATTTTTATACAAATATTCTACTACAATAACTTTTTTAACTCCAAGTTTTGAGTTATTAATCGAGAAGGTTATATTTACATCTTTCAACCTTAATAGGATCATTTTTATATCTCCAATATGATGCCTAATAAAACTTCTACATCCAATGTTGTCTTGAGCTTCAATCTTGACTTCTTCTTTGCATTTCTAAATTGGAATATCATTCATAAATGAGATGGTTTTTAAATACAAATTCTTTCAAAATATAATTCATAGGACTTTGTGTATGAGTCATAGAATTTGTATCTCCTTAAAATAGTGTGTATATTTGAACCAATCTTAAAAGTGTCTTTATAATGGTCAAATCCTTACTTTTTGTTGCAAATTAAAATCCATCATATCTAGACTATAGGCCTTCAATATAATAAATTGAATGGTCTACTACTAGAGTAGAGAGAGTTTTCTTCAAAAAAACATTGGACTTCCGGGTACTACTAAATATTCAATCAAGTCTCAAGATTTAAAAGCACTAAGTTTTCATATAATATTGTCCTTTTAACGGCAATTACATCAATACATAAGCCCTAAGTACCAAAGAACATCCAAAATATGATAAAAATATTTTAAATCCTTATATATCCTTAAGGTGATTTTTTTTCAAATTTCAATGTCTCATATCTCTCAATTGGACTATCCAAATATCCTCAAAATTTACAATAAATACTTATATACTTCAAAAAACTACCACAACAAATATCAACCATAAATTTGTTACGGATCTTGAGATATCGCCAAAACTCTAGAAGTAGCCTCAAATCCTTGTTTATATACACCTGTATGAAAATTTCTTTATATCTCACAAACTAAAAGGTCAAATACCACAAAAGCAATGTATAGCTTTTTATCATCAATAACTTATACTTTTGAAAACTTTGAGCCAAAAATTCATCCAAAAACTTATGATATGGCTTCATCTATTACTATCAACAAAATGGTTTACTTACTGCTATTGAATTACATGTGCTATCTTTAACTCCCTATTATTCCTTCATACAAACTCTAAATATAACAATTCTTTGGTAAAAGATGTAGGTCTTGAAATCACCCTTACAACTATATCTTTCAATTTTCAAAAGCAACTGTACAACTCTTTGTATCTTCAATGTGTTTTTGAAAGACACCTTAATATCAAATTGCTATAACTTCTTTATTCTAATTATAAACCCTCTAAGTTTTGAATAAATATTTTTTTTCCTCTATATTCTAAATACTATAGTTACAATATTTACTATAAATTATAATAAAAAGTTCCAGCTATATTTAATACTTTCAACAGTAGTAATTTGTAAGCTATGGTTTTTAAACTTGAAGTACTAAAGGTTATTGTACTTAACAAACGAAAATTTCTTTTTTTATTTTCTTAAAATAACCTTAGTATATTAAAAAAATTATAGTTTTAGATTATAAATATAATAATAATCATAATCATAATACTTTCCAATTTTTTGAATTGAACAAGATTTTTTTATTTATTTAAGAAATTTTATCAAATATGTGCAAATATACAATACTACTTCTTTTCATTAAAATCCGTCTTCATTGTCTTTAAAAATTAATCTCTGAAATATAGAAAGCATTTGATAGGAAACTCATGATTAAAGGAGCTTGTTAGATTAAGGAACTATGTAAACAAAGTTCATCCCTCACTTTGGCAGCAAGAGCCTAACACCTATGAACAAGTGAATAAACAAAGTAATGGATGACCAAAAAAAAAAAAAAATGAAAAAAAAAAATAGACTCTTTAGTGCTTGTTGCTATCTATAATTGAATAAATAGGTGGATAATAAAAAAATACATGAACAAGCAACCAAAATATAGAAAAAACAAAAAGATCTTCAAAGATCTCATTAGTCTTCAAAGGGAACTTGGATTCAAGAAGACAATACTTCTATTTGTTATCCAAAAGTAAACATAATGTAATGTTTAATACTGGTGAGGCATATTCATTTCCAAAGGGCTTTTATTTTAAAGTATTTTATAGATTGAAAGAATCCAAATCCATTTAACTACCATTCTAACTAAACAAATTATTGATCATAACTTAAAACTTGTTTTATTTTAATTTAATAGATAGTTGATATATGGACTCTCCTTTCACTCATTTAGTTGTTGGAACAAAGTATTGAATCCATTGCTAGAAAAGTCATAAAACAAAAAAAAATATAACCAAACAAACAAATATTCTAGGTAAAATATACATTATTCTAATGTAAAGTAGCTTCTATCTTTGTGGTTACATCAATATTATGGTATTTAAATATGTGGATTTTTTGAAGAGAGAATTGAACATAGGAGGAGCATCAAAAAGACAATAAACCATGACAAAGATAAAAAATACCTACTAGCAACTCAAAAAAAAATACAAGAGAACTTATTCAATTATAATTTTTTAAAAATAGTATGCAATTGTTTGTAAATGAAATTTTAATTTGATGTATTTAAAGTTTTTTTTATATCATCCATTCTATTTTTTTTACAAAATGATGTTATATTCACTCTTTATTTTTTATATATTTATTCCATCAACTTTAATTAATTAGAATGTTATATTTTTTGAATCAAGTATTTTCTAAAATAAGATTATAGACTAAAGATTATAAAGATTTAAAAGATATTTTTTTAAAATACAGGATGATTTGGAATTTCAAAGAAAAATTTATGGATTATAAGATGAGTTTTTGTTTGTATTGCATAAGAAATAAGATAGGTATAGGAAAAGGATCTTATTAAAATTCCTTTGAATTCAAAATAAACTTTAGTCAATGTTGTTGCTCATAAAATATTCTTGTAAGAATACTTGTATTTATGTCAATGGCTCCATTAGCCAACAAAACTCTTTGCAATCTTTTCCACCCATCCAAGTTGTCCAATATGCATTGCAATGCTCATACAATTGTAATCCATAGATGAACACAATCTCCACTTCAACTTTCCTTAGGCTTACTTAGTTTATACACTCTACTAGTCTATACCATCAAAAGCTTTAAAAAAGCTGAGAGGTTGCAATCTTTGATCTAATAATTGCAGTTAAGAATGACCAAAATTATTTATACAATTCCCAAACTACTACTAACAATATCCATCAAATCAAATTGTTATTCCTAATTTCTCCACACATGGACGATTTGTAAATATGATAGCACTGTACCTTTTAATGTCATCTGGCTTCGTTCCACCATCCGAAGGAGAAGAGTTGGTTGCTTCTCCAACCCACCACGACCTCAACAACAACGTCGGCTCCATCCTTTGGTATACCTAGCGAAGAGAACAAAATTTACAATCGAGCTCCTTCAGATACATGAAAAAGGCCCATTAGCAGCAGATAATCTCAAACTCGATAAACACTCTCTGCGTTTGTCCAAAACCACATCAGACCATCAACCCCAACCTCAACAGTGTGAACCTTATCGCAAGAACATCAAGAATTGCGAGAGAACCTCCGTGACCTTCAGTTTACTAAATCTGAACTCTGATCTGCAGCTCTTCAGTAAATACTCTTCAATAAATTTTTGGTGTGGCTGGTATTTCTTGTTTGCCGGAACCCTGAGTCTTGGCGATGAGCACCTCACACACACTTTTAATGCGCTCACAAATGTGCTAGTATAGGAGCAGCTTTAAAAAAGGTACACATGTGGGCTGATACTCTTTTTAACATGAAGCTGGCTTAACCAAGGTGTCCCGAGCTGGTTCATTGATACAGACTATTTGATTGAGTGCATGGAAAATTATGAGTATCTGAGGAAAGACATTCCTAAAGCCAGTTTATTTGAAGGGGCGTGGGCCTGTTTACAGATGGGATTAGCTGATTCAATTGTCACTATATATGCCTAGCGATTGCAGAGAAGTTGGATCCTTTACTAGCAGGAATACATATTTACTTGGTGGTTTGGTTTGATTTTACTGATTGTATCAAGCTTATATGTGTGACGTACAAATTTATAAAACGATAGAACGATTTGCGCACTTCTAAAAACGGAGAAAAATTAACTATTTATAACCTAAGTACCTCACATCTTTGGAGGTTGAGAGGAGGCGTTGGGAGTGGTTCACATGGACTGGCATTTGGGTAGCTACTTGTGCATGCTCTCTCAGCAAACAGGAAATGTCAGGCATAGGCAGCCACACCGAAAATCAGCCACACCGACAAATGCACACCCTCGAGCGCTATTTTGCAAGACAAGAAAACCGAGGCGTCAGCTCTGGCAACCGGAAGAGCTAGTACACGAGTTTTAGTAGCCTTTGTTTGTAACTTGAGTGAGTGAAGGGTTCAGAGCTTTCATCTAATAAACTGATCATTCACAGCTGAGACTAGTCCCACACCTGAAAGGTCTTAGGTAGAGTGATCACTAGAAAAGCGTACAACCAGGAATCTTCGTTGCCGCCTTATATTCATCTCTAAGGCAAAAACGTTGTCAAATGAAAGTAATTCTTTCTGCAAATTCACGATTAAAAGAAGAGTCCTGAATTTCATCATTGGTCTCAAACCTGTTACTGGAACGACCGAAGTCGAGGTCATCAAGGTTGAAAGTGAAGTCCAGTAAATCTCGAATACTCTTTTCTTCCTCAACTTTGATTGTCCTCTGTTTCTCAACGTCAGTGTGACCTGAGGGAAAGTAATTTGAGTTTGAGTGCTGGTAAGGAAGAGGTTTAGCAATATCTAAGAACTTTTTAATTAGCATCCTAGAAAGCTTCAACGAGAGGGATTGTGTTGGCTTTGCAACTAGGATACAAGATTGAGCTCCAGTAGTTGATCTCATGTCACGTGCTGCGTTGCGACAGGAAAAGACTTGTGAGCTTCATGTTCGCCTTCCATCCCAAGCTGCCTCTCAGACAGACCATTCTTCAAAGCGATCGCTTTGTACAACCACTCCCGCAAGTTAGTCTCAATATGCCATTGCATCTCTTCGTTCTCAGTAGCAGTGGGGTTGGAACTGATAAACTCGTGCGGGTACCCTTGAAAATCTTATCCATCAGAGCATTCATCAGGAGATGCGTCATCGAACTCATCTTCATCCCAACCACTGGAACTTCCAGAGCAGCTACCATCTTGTAGCCAAGACTGTGTTCTATAGCTCCCGGTCATGTCCAGTCTGGTATGATGCGCAGGGCCAAATCCTGAAGTGGCTACGAAGGCACCAGACATAGACGGGTCAATATTAGACCGAGAAAGTTTTTCCAGAGCAGACCGAGAGGCACGACGAGGTTGACGTGGCATGGCTGGCTGGGGTTGCCACAAGGATGAGTCATGAGCACTCACATCTGAGTTACAACCTGGAATGGTAAATGAGCTCAACTGTTGTAGAATATCATCATGAGATCCCTTCAACCCTATGGAGGACTCTAACTCTTTTAACAAATCCTGAGCGCGCTCATAGGATTTAAGATGAGAATCTGATGGCCACCGAATGCCAGTACACGCTACGGTCACTCTCTGAAGAACGGCTTCAGCTTCTTCCAGACGACCTTGCTTCATCAAGCAAACGCTGAAATTGCAAACTTTGTTGACGTCAAATTCAATTGACCATGCTTTCCTGTCGCACACAAAAACACTTCAAGTAAGCGACAGATGATATGGATCTGCTAAGCACACCTGGTCAAGCGACACAGCAGATAGAATCACGCTTTTTACATTGAACAGCAAAGCGGATCACCTTTTTTCTCCTGCGACTTGCGGATTCACGTTCATTTCCATGGACATGTAACAGATCTCGCTTGAAAGCAAACTCATAGACTCTAGACACACAACACGCACCCTTCGAGAGTCGCTACTAATTCGACAGTATGCACACAAAATCTTGCCCAGGAAATGAATAAAGAAGAGACGTAAGATGCTGGTGGCGGAAACAAACCTGTATCAGAAGAACTAGGTCGCCGCTTACACGTTCGGGGACGACGGGTGCCAAGGGCGACCAAGAGGGTTGAGAATCAACGAAAGTCCTTAAACGCAGCGCACAGTTGAGACATACACAAGAATGGGAGGACCCATGCAGCAATAATGCAGTTCAGTCAGCCCGAGCACGCCGCGGTGTCAGATTGTGAACCTCGAATAGCACTGAGAATAGTTGGAGCATTTTCAATAGTAATTTAAATAGTGCTATGCATTGAAAGGAAATTGTCGACTACTCTTGCCGCATTTCAACCAGTATTCGGTGGCTTTCTCACTAACGGACAGGGAGGAATTCATGAAGAATAGAATCTGCAAATTGAACATGCAAAACTTTGATAGTAATTTTTGTTTTGATTCTGTTTACTTTTTGAAACTTGCATCTGGAATGAATGAGGTTAAGGAATTTGTACACTGGTTTGGGATCCATAATATTATGTTTTAGGACTTCAACTTCTAAAGATATCCCACAATAGCTAGATGTCTTTGTCTAATTGAGCCTGGTACTATGTGATAAGTAATTAACTATAATACTTTTAATAGGTACAAATTTTTATTCTAGCAAGTTCTAATTCAAATGCAACTGTTTATTCTAAATTCAATTTACTCTATCTAATAATACCATCTTGTTAATACATATAAAATATTTCATTTCAAATGCCACCACAACCAATATTAATAAATTCAAACCATATTAATTTTTATATAAATTTCTAATAATACCAAATTCTAACAATATTGCCACAACTTGCAAGCTTCTTGTTGTACTAACAATGATAGTTTTTATCTTTTTTATTTTTCTAGAGATAGCACCCACTTCAATGCCTATTACTTCTAGATGGCTAAAATCACTTTTTACTACAAAAATTATAGTGTCAAGGACAAGAATATGATAAAGACAAATAAATAAGTGAAACTTCTCTCAAAGAAAGATGATAAAATAGAAATAATTTGATATATATATTAAGAAAGAAACAGAATTGGCTATTGCCAAAAGCCAAGAAAACTAGAGATCCTTGAAATTAGACTCAAAGTAGGAAAGGAGTTGATAAAAGTAAAGAAGAATTCACTCTTGTCTCTATATATACTATCTAACTAGAGACTATGTGGCAATGTTCTATAGGACCTCCAATATGTGTTGACTTTGTAGAACACATGCCTTGACTTATAAGGCAAGTTTTTCTACATGTAAGCCATATAGTTAGCTTGGTCTTTAAGCTAACAACATATGTGACACATGGCTACCTTTTTGATCACGTTTCTAATCCAAAATATCAATTAAAGACACCTATAAAGTCAAAGCAACATCTATGAAGCTTCTAGGAAGCTTCTATATCAAATACTATAGAATTAACTTACTTTATCTATTTTTACTTACTTCTATATATTTATATATGTAATTACAGGCTTATATGAGTATGTCCGTGACATTACTTCTTTATCTAGAGACGAGTTCTATAAGGAGCGATCATCATATATTGAAGAAATCTATGATGCAACAAATTGTATTCGTCACATACTCTAATCTTTGTTCTCTTTGAAGATGATTGATAGGGCTTTTTAACCATCGGTAGTGTCCTATATCGGAGGGGAGAGAGACCACCCAATTATTTGATCATTGTTTGAGCCTTCATAACTTCCTTCGAATAAAACATTTGGAGCACCATCAAGAATTTTTCCTACCTCTAGTAAAATCACCAAACATCGGGAGTTCCTTCCAAAGTCGTGATACCAAATGCGTTGTATCTCACCATCTATTCAAGGAAGAACATGTCATTCTTTAAGATCTTCATCTCAATTGCGTCGTCTAGAAGGTTGTGACAATCGTCATGTCTCGTCCAATAGGTCAGCAAATAAAGGCTCTTGAATCAAATCTGCTGATTTTTGGTTCTCCATCTCCTGAGCATCACTACTATAAAGAAGTTACAAACAAGGATTGAAAGTAGAATGTTATCTTGCCTAGATCTTGTTTCTTTTATAAAGAAGGTTTTCATCTTGATTTTGATGGATGTCGTCGATGAAAAGCCTCCACCACCTTTGTTGCATTTACAAGATTCTTTACTAGCTCCCATGTGCATTTACTAATATCGTATCTGTGCCAATGGACAAGATAATCTAATTTCTTTCAGCACCGCCTTGAATCTAAGTCTTCTTCAACTTCAAATTTTTTATTATTGTCCGCTTCTATAGGAAGAGGTGGAGCTTGTCTTCTTCTTGGTTTGTCGATTGTGTTGCATGATTTAAGAACAGACACATGGAATACTGGATGGATTTTCATTGACTCCGGTACATATAAACAATATGCAAGTGGATTGATTTGTGTAAAAATAGAATATGGTCCAAGCCTTCAATAGTCTAACTTCTCACAAGGATGGGTGGTCTTGATATTGTGACAAAATAACTATACCTTATCACTCATGTGGAATGGTGGTTGTTCCTTTTGATAGACATCTACATTGACCTTTTGTTGTTCTTGAGCTTCTTTTAACTGTGTCTTCATCGTTGCATGTAGCTCTAACAAATGAATTGCCAAATCTTTCGCAGCATGATTATCAACTTTTGAAAAGTCAAAAGTATCAAGTCATGGATGATAACCATAATTAACAAAGAAAGGTATTTGTTTTGTAGAAAAATATACTATGTTATTGTAAGCAAACTCTGCTAATGGTAAAAGAGTTGTCCAATCATCTTATTGGTAGTTAATAGTACATCTTAAATACTACTCAAAAACTTGATTAATACGCTCTATTTGTCTATCAATTTGAGGATGGAATACCAAAGATAGTTTTATATCTACTTTTAGAATCTTAAAAAGAGTCTATCAAAATCTTGATACAAATTGAATTCTCCTATCTAGTATAATATCTTAGGATAAGCCATGATAGTAATAGATATTGTCAAGAAAGAACTTAGTTGTTTCTTTACTTGTGATAGATTTTATACACAGTACAAAATATGCCATCTAGATAAAACGATCCACTATCACGAATATAGAGTCATAAGAACCTGAAATTAGAAGATCCATAAAGAAATCCATGGAAAAAATAGACCATGGTTGTTTAGGAATGGATAATGGCTAAAGAAGTCCATAAGGTCAATGACAAGGAGTTTTTGATCTTGAGTAAACATCACAAGATTGTACAAAATTTTTGACTGCTTTTCACATTTGTGGCCAACAAAAATCCCTACATATTAACTCCAAAGTTTTATTGTACCCAAAATGTCATATTGCTGGAAAGTCATGACGAGCTTGGAGAATATATAATCGAGCTTCACCTTTTGGAATATATAGGCATCCCTCAAAATATAGTAGATTCTTCTTGAATTCAAACTTAAAAGTATCACGAGACTTTGAAGGATTTTCCTTAATATCATGAATAAGAAGATTAAAAGACATACTTGACTATACTTACTTAATAAAAGTTGAATCAATAGTTAGTGTTGATTTCATTGCTCAAAGATGAAGATGCTCTAGCTTCAAGAGAATTGTTTGTTGTTGATAAAAAGCAACATCTCCTTTCTTTGGTACAAGATAAGATTATCTAGAGAGTGCATCTAACAAACCTTTTGTTTTTCCAGTCCATAAGTGATCTTGAATTCAAATCTTGACAAAGACATATTCTAATGGGCTTGGTGATGATTCAAAATACGTGTTGACATAAAATATTCAAGGTTCTTATGATCCGTATACACTGTGACTGGGCTAGAAGCACCTTTGAGATAATGGCACTATTCTTAAAATAAATCCACAATTACAAGAAGTTCTTTATCATGGATTTCATAGTTGATCTGGACTGCTGAAATTTTTTTGGAATGAAAAGCTATTGGATGAAGTTTATCATCTATTCTCATTTGTGACGATACGACATCGAAAGCAAAGTTTGATGTGTCTATTTCCATAAAAAATGGCTTAGAAAAATTGATGCGATATAAGATTGGTGTAGAAACAAAGGCTATCTTCAAAGCTTCAAATGTTACTTTAGCTTCTTGATTCCATTGAAGTTTGTCTTTGCAAGTCAAACGTGTAAGTGGAGCTGCAACTTGAGAGAAGTCTTTGATGAAGATCTAATACTAGTTGGCAAATTCCAAAAAGCATTGGACATCTCTTACCGTTTTTAGATCTTTCAATCTATAATAGTTTGAACTTTCTTAGGATCCATCATAAGTCCATCATTTAAAATGATATGTTCTAAAAAGTCGACTTGAGTAGTGTGAAATATACACTTTTCTATCTTGGCATAGAGTCCTGCATCTTTTAGTTTTTGTAATACTTGGCAAACATGAAGTTCATATTCTTTTGGATTCTTAGAATAGATTAAGATATTATTTAGGTAACAGACAACAAAATCATCTAAAAACTCCTGAAAGACATCAATCATTAGATGTTGGAATACTGTTAGTGCATTTATAAGTTCAAAACGCATGACATTGTATTCAAAATGTCCATATCTTGTTCGAAATGTAGTCTTTCATTCATCTCCTTTTTTGATGCGTACTAAATTATATGCTCCTCATAGATGTATTTTTGTATAGCTCTTAGCTTGATTCAATTGATCAAAAAATCCAGATATCAAAGGTAGAAGGTACCTATTTTTTTATAGTGATTTTCTTGAGTCCTCGATAATCGACACACATTCGCAATGATCCATCTTTTTTCTTTACAAATAAAATTAGAGCTCTTGTTGGAGATTTGGAATGGCATATGAAGTTCTTGGCCAAATTTTCTTCAATATACTCCTTGAGTTCAGCCAACTCATTTTGTGATAAATTATAGATTGGTCCAAATGGCTGTGTCACAAACATACTCATGTAAGATCATAATTACATATATAAATAGGTAGAAGTAAGTAAAAATAGATAAAAGTAAGATAATTCTATGGTATTTGATATAAAAGCTTCCTAGAAGCTTCATAGACGTTACTTTGACTTTATAAGTATCTTTAAT